GATAAACTTTTAATCTTTACCTTTATCTATTTGTAAAAAATGGCCATCGAGAATCGCTCTGGAGCCAGTTTATTGGCAATGAAGAGTAAATATTCAATTTCAAATGCAGCATTCCCCTGATTACGGTGAAACTTCTCCTTTTCCTTCTTTTTCGATGATACAACCGAGTTGTACACTGAGAAAAAGGATTAGTTTCGATAACTAAAGATATTTAGTTCCCGAATTTTGACAATATTTGGGAACTGTTACCAAGGATTGGGAACTATTACCATGGGTTGGTAATTATAACTAAATATATTAAAGCTTCTAATATTCATCAAGGTTTCACCAAATCGTTAATTTAGTTGAAGGGTTTGGTAAATACTAACAAATATATTTTTGAAGCATATTTCTACAAATTCCATTCAACTTAACGTATGGTTCATAAAGGATGTCATTAAGCTCTGCTAATGCTAATACAGATAAGCTTTCTTTGAACACATGGTTTAGTCATAGTTACCAAATCTTAGTTGAGGCAACCACGATTTGGTTTGAGAGCGGAACATATTCATGCTTGTGAGCGACCCCTAAATAATGCTGAGCGTTCTCGGAGCGTTTGTGTGTTTCACATACGAAGAGCGCCAGCTGAGCAATGTACACAATCCCACTTATTGAATCGTTTGAATGCGCCGACCATTGCATAAAAAACGATTGAATGAATGAGACTGTGTGCGTGGAAATCCTTGCTCCGCTACCGCTGTTCGTATATGGGTGAAACACGCGTGTGGTTACAGAGCGCTCAGTAAGCTATGGCATGTAGGGATTAATTAATTAATTAAGCCCAACGGCTTTTTACCCTCCATTCCCGCCCAACCGACACGAGGGGCGCAGTCCGCATGACGTACGGAAACTTTTTTTTTAATTTTTTTTTTTAGTTTTTTCGTGCCGAGTAGTGGAAACAGGAGTTTGTTAAGTGTCGAGATCTAAAACTATTCAGCTACAGAATCAAATTCATCAGCTGATTGGATATGCTAAAGATAGTATTTCAATTATTGAGAGTGGAAATAATAGTTTTCTTTATAGTAAAAATCGAGTCCGATACGTCAAACGTGCTGGAATGACAGTTAAAATCTTGACATAAACCACGGAATGATTCGTTTAGTTCAAAATTAGTTTTGCATGGCTTTAAAAATAGAGGTCGAAAGTGTCTTGACACTCGAGAAGGAACATTAAAATTTACCTCAGCCAGGAGGGCCGGGCTATTAATCAAGCCTGCCATTAATTTTACGATAAATATTATACCCAGCATTTCTCTACGACTTGCGAGTGTAGGCAAATTTATGAGCTTTAGACGACTTGTGTAAGGGGGGATATTGTAATCTGAATCCCAGTTAAAATTACGCAATGCAAAAAGCAAGAATTGTTTTTGAATTGATTCAATCCAAATCGATACCATCAAGGAATTACTCAAATCAGTACTTGTACTTGTATCAAACAAGGTATCGATACCTACTCAGTATCGGAAAGGTATCGAGTACTTGTACAAAGAACTACTATTCTGCATATTTTTCAAACTTATTGTTTTTTTTTCGCAAAAATAATGCATTTTCACAAGATAATTTTTTTAATATTTTTTTTCGCAAAAATTTAAGACAACAATTATTTTTGTATAGGATTTGATTTCAAAAACATTAATACATATTTACAAGATTAATAGAGAAATTTTTTTCATATAAAATAAGTTCAAGGAAAGAACTCTTTTTTTTGTTATATTTCCCAAAAACATCAACTTTTCCTGGAAGGCGGTTTCGAGATTTTGATATAGTTGTACCTGTTTTTGAGAAAAGCCAGGGACAGATGACCCAATAACCGTTATGTACAGACAGGCTTCCTTATATAGCTGCGGAAATGTAGTCCGCATATCTTCCCATTCCTCTAATGGTTTGCTTTTGTTTTTTGTTTCGGTGTGCGCATCGTTATTTAAAAATATAAAGTTTGATGCCAACCGGGGTTTCTCAGTGGATATATAATTTATGGGAATTATAGTTTGAAAGTATCTATTTAGCCAAGGAAAAAGCAAAGCAGTATACTTAAACCAGCACTTCCAGCAGATATTGACTTGGGTTTTCGCACGACTGTGCCTGTTTCATCGTTTCTTTTTAGGAAATTCTTACCACCATATACATACATATGTATTATTTACACTAGTAGCTATTTATGTAAATATGTATGTATTTTTTATACTTAATATATGCAAATAAAAGAAGAAAGTAAACACAACAACCATCGAGTAAATTTTTATTTGTGTCAAACTGAAACTTTTTTTCCAATAATATACGGTTAGCTGATTCAAGTCCACAGCAAGTTCACAAAATTAATTGAAAACTTTTATCAACCAAAGCCATTGTTTATATTTGCTCAACAATGATTTTATTCAACTAACAATATTGTCCACTCAAGGTAGTCGTTTTGTAATTATTAACAAATATAGGCCCCTATTATGAGTTGCATTCGATTTTCGACTGTGGTCGAAAGTGCTGAGCGAACGAATTTTCGTTTGGTATTATGGCGCTCATTCGATGAAGAATAGCGCTATTGTGAATTTCGCTCGTTTAGGTTGTTCACAATAGTATATTTTTCACCGCTGAGAAGCTTTGTTTACAAATCGAGCGAACTAAATAGTGTGCTTATACATATTTATGCAAATTTGTTCTAATTAAAATGAAGTAAAAACAAGTAAGAAAGTCTAAGTTCGGGCGGAGCCGAACATTAAATA